TACATAACCTTAAAAAAAAGTCTATGATTACAAAAAATAAGAGCCTTAATTCTTATAACAGTTGTTGCCATTAGTAATCATAATTCAGAAAACACTTCCAAGCCTTCAATGACTTCAGCCTTCAATAGTTCAATCACCACAACCTACATGCTTATAACAGTTGCTGCCTCTAATCATCATCAACAAAGAGGGATTGTTCCTCACCAAGAGGTAACATTTCTTCAAAAAAAAAAAAAAAAGTTAAGGAATAATTAACAGGAAGATAATGAGATTAAAAAAAACAGAAAATATTTAAATGTTACCTGATTCAATTTTTTCCATATCTTCAAGTCTCTCCTCAAGTATAAGAGGACCTTGAGATGTACGTAACCAATCTTGTGCACAAATCAAGGCTTCAACCATCTTAGTTGAAAGTGAGCTGCGAAATGAATCAAGCACTCGACCACCGGTGCTAAAAGCTGATTCGGAAGAGACTGTTGACACGGGAATGGCAAGTACATCTCTAGCCATGAGAGCTATTATTGGGTACCTTTCACCATATTTTTTCCACCACCCCAAACAATCAAAGCTTTTTCCGACAGGATTAACTTCTCTATCATCTTCTAAATACTTGGCCAACTCATTTTTCCCTTGTACTCCAACACATGAACCCACATCCTTTTCAAACTCTAATTCCGCAACATCTACATCAGAATCCATATCTTCTACTTTCTCCGGAAAAACAAAAGTTTTAGGGGGAATGGACTCATTTGGAGGGTTTTCAGAAATATAAAGTTCATACATGTCATTCAGAGTTTGCATCACTTTATCACACAAGTACTTAGCTTTTTCAGAATCATATTGTTGATTAATTGCCCATTTAGTATATCTCATTTTCCGCCTAGGATCAAGAATGACAGCAATATACAACAAGAGATTCACATTATCAACATTTTCCCAATACTTGTCATGCTTTTTTTTTCATTCCACTTGCCATTAAACTCACCCCCGCATCATTACTCAACACTTTTTTTCTTGATTAACACACTAATCCCAACAAGTTCTTGTAAATACACATTAGAGGTGATATACAACGAGCTGGAAACTCGTAGAATAGCATCAAAGAATATTTTAAGTAAAGGAAGAAAAGAGGCAACACGATCCCAATCACTAGGTTCAGGCACCCCATCTGACTTATGTAACTCATACCTAAATTTACCACCATCTAAACACTCAAGCAAATCAAAATCCCTACGATATGCCAAAGCACCTTCCAACATTAAATAAGTGGAATTTCACCTAGTATCCACATCTAAACAAAGAAAACGTTTTGACTCCAACTTTTCTTGTTTAACACAACTCATAAACTTTTGCAATCTAGCACCCGATGATCTTACATACCTAACAGCACAATGAATTCTTTTTATTGACACATCACTTTCTTTCAATCCTTCTTTAACGGTTAAACTTAATATGTGAGCACAACATCTCATGTGTAAAAACCGACCACCCAAAACTAATGTCTTCCAACTTTCAAACCTCCTTTTCAAATATTGAATGCCAACATCATTTGAACTTGCATTATCTACAGTGACAGTCATTACTCTAGAAATACCCCATTCAAGTAGACACTTTTGGACAGATTTACCAATTGTTTCACCAGAATGACCAGCAATTATACAAAAGTTAATTATTTTTTTGTGCAATTTCCAATTTTGGTCAATAAAGTGAGCGGTTAAACACATGTAATTCATATTTTGGCAAGAAGTCCAAGTATCAGTGGTGAGACTTATACGTGAAGTGCACATGCTAAAAAACTTTTCAAACTTTTTTTCTCATCCAAATAAATCCTAAAACAATCTCTAGTCACTGTCCATCGAGAAGGAATAATGAAAAGGGGTTGTGTTACCTTCATAAAGTTGCGAAAACCTTCATGATCCACCATTCTAAAAGATATTTCATCCATAATCACCATCTTTGCCAGAGCTTTCCTACTATCTTCTTGATTGAATTTCCACAACTCAAGTCTACCTTTTTTTTCATCCACAAGATTCCCATCAAGACTTTGTTGACTAAGGGACAATAGTTGCTGATTTTGATCAATGTTTGGGGGGTATTCCTTACACCGCTTTATGTGGTTCTTCATGCCGGAGGTACCTTGAAGTGATGCACAACCAATTAATGTATGACAATAGATACATTCAGCCTTGTTTTCTCCATCCTTCTTTATAAAATGCTCCCAATGAGGAGAACGCCTTTTTCTAGTTTTTTTTGAAGTTTCACTTAAGGGGGCAACAACATCAGCAGCTTCAGAAGGTTGGTTTAATTGATTTTGCTGCTCAAAAGGGTCATTATTTTCCGTCATTGGACAAGGGTCATACTCCCAAGGCTCGGGAGGAGGACTTAGAATTGGAGGAGCTTGAGTTGTAGCCGATGAGTCTTCCATATCCCCACTACTTCCAGATTCTATACACTCCTACAAATGAAGAAAACAAATAAGTACAATCATGTATACACAAATAACAAGAATGAAGAGAAAATCTAGTTAGTAACCAGGCACAAAATAATGTTCACCAATGTTATCTTCTTTCTGCAAAACCAAACTAGTCTCATGCTTCAAATTCTAGTCTTTCTCCACTCTTACCTCCATCGTCTCTTCTCCTTCTTTCGAATATACTCCTGTTATCCATAACTATTTTAACCTAAGAAGGCTTCGTCTCCTCAAACTTACTAACTACAACTAAATATATTAACTCATACTTTGTATGAACTACTCATATTTAGAAGAAAATAGTCATAAGTAAGCTAACCCGAACTATACTGGAAAAAGAGCCTCCAAGCTAAAATGGCTATAGCTGAACACATTCCTTGAACTGCAACAGCTAATAAAATCTTGAAATGTATCCTTTCCTTAAAAAAATCTCCAAACATCTACTCTCTTCATATTTTAATTCATATCATATATCTGTACAACACTAGAATTTCACAATAGCGAAACTTAACCCGAAAAACAAACATGCATTAAGAAAATTTCAAACCTCCCATTTCCTAACCCCAACTAATCATACCCAAAAACAATTAGCTGTATCTCATTCAACCTAAACATCACATACTAAGTTCCATAAAATATTAAAACACATAACAAAAAAAAAAGTAACCGTGAAAATCACTATAACAGGGCTAAATTTAGATAAACGCATACATGAGAGATAGACTTAGAAGAGTGATGAATGGTCCGGCGACATTATATAGCACATTAGCAGCCAAATTTAACTCAACATCAAATTAAATTATTCTCACTTAAGAATATGGAATTGACATTTACTGATTTTATAATAATAATAAAATTACCTCAGGAGTTGCTTCGACGGAGGAGTGAAAGCTCAAAAGCCGCTTCAATGGAGAAGTCGAAGTTCGCTTCAATGGAGGAGATGAGGGGTTAAGCGACGCAGCGTAAACGTGAAAAGGCCCCAAAGTTCGAAGAACCCTAAATTGGTTATACTAACTTTTATGAATCAACTATCTGGGAAAACAAGAGTTTAGGGTTAATTGAATTCATTGCAAATAATTAGATCTGGGAAAGGGATAATTACCTGAGGTAACCGGCTAACCATTGGAAAAGAACAGACTTGGAGAATGGAGATCAGAGAACCAGATATTAGAGAAGAGGAGGAGAGATAGAGGGAGATGGAGGTTGAGTGAGTGAGTGAGAAATGAGAAAAGAACGAAGATTAGGGTTTTTTGTTTCATTAATTTTCTGTTTCAATTTTTTTTTTTAAAAACTGACATTTGAGATTTTCGGGTAATAAAAAAATTCGGGTACCCGAAACAGCGTTAACGGGTACCGGCTACCCGAACCGTTAATTTTTTATTGGTTCGGTTACCCGACCTGATTTCTTTAAACGGTTCGGGTACTCAATTTTTCGGTTCGGTCACGGTTCGGTTTTTTGGGTTTTCAGTTTTTCAGATAAGTTTGCTTAGCCCTAACTAAGACTGCCACCATTAGAACCTTGGTAGCCCTTGCGTCAATTCATGACTCAGTGGTTCACCAAATGGATGTTAAAACGGCTTTTGTTAATGGAGACTTTTGTTGATGATTTAGAGTGTTGTATGGTGCACGCTCGCGCCCTTGTTAAGCGCGGCCGCGCCAGGTAGGCGCGGCCGCGATGAGAGCGCGCCTAAACCGCGCACCTCTCTGGAAATCAGCATTTGGATGACAGCGCCACCAGGCAGCGCGCCCGCGCTTCAGGTCACGCTAAAACCGCGCCCCTTACTGTCTTCAATTTGATTTTGCAGGCTTTTTGGGAGGCGCACCCGCGCCTGTTTATGTCGCGCCCGCGCTACTTCCCAGTTCTGCAGTTATTTGCTGACGGTTGTTTCTCTTATAAAAGAGAATTTTCGTGAAAACGAAAAAAGAGACAGAACATTTATCTCATCCTCTCCAAGAAAGAATTTTCCATATTTTCTTCTCAATTTTCTTGCAAACTATTGTGGGAAAACTCTTGAAATTTAGGCTTTTTTGTGAATTTTTCGTCGTACTTCGATTCTAGTGCAAAGAACGAAGTTTTGCTGTCAATTGTATCTCAAAGAGGATTTCCGGTTTAACCCAAGCACCGTGTGGGGGAAATAAACCTCTTTAGGAAAGTGTTACACGCCTTTGACAGTGTATCAAGGTTTGAGACTCAAGTGGTCATCGTTTTTCTCATGTTCATGTTCATCTTCTTCAAGGCTTGGTGTTGAGGCAAATTTGTATTCTTTACATTAGTGTTTTCATTTGTAATTTTCTGAAATATATTGTAATTTCACTAGTAGAAAAACAGAAATAGGCAACCCCCCTATGGCAACGGTTCATGAAAACCGTTACCAACTCTACCCCTTTTTTTTAAAAAAAAAAATTGGCAACGGTTAACCGTTGCCAATTGATTAAATTATTTTTTTTAAAAAAAAGGGGTAGAGTTTGGCAACGGTTAACCGTTGCCAATTTAAAAAAAAAAAAAAAACCCCAACACTCTCCTCTCCTTCGCTCTCTTTCTCTTCTCCTTCCCCTATTCCCCCTGTTTCTCTGAATCTCCCTAACCTCTTTGAATCTCTTTCTCTTCTCCTTCCCGTTTCTCCTTCCCCTTCTGTTTCTCCTTCCCCTTATTTCTCGTCTTTCTCGCCTTTTTGGGGTAATTCAGATCCGTATTTTTTTGGGGTTTTTGGGGTACGAATTGCGGAAAGAAGGGGGCGAAATACGAGGCCAGAGGTTAAGTTAAGTTATTTTTTGTCTTTAATATTTCATTCGGTTATTAGATTTTGTCAAATAATTTTACAGTTTTTTTGGTCAAAATTGGGAAAAATCGAACAAAAAAACCCTAAATTTCGAATTTGGGAGTTTTCAATTCGGTCCATTATTCTTGAAATTGTTTGTTCCATGTTGTTATGCTATGTTTAAGGAGTGTTTTGCAACAAATTTCATGAAAAATGGTTAAGTATTAAACCTTGTATGAGCATGTCTTTGTTCGAGTTCGTTCTTTGTATAAATGGTTAGGTTTATTTGTTATTGTGGGTTGTTTGTTGAAATTCCGATGAGGCTAAGCTCAAGGTTAAATTCTATGTCCCTCCTTTCCTTCCCATCATCCCTGTTGTTGGCGACTATTGGATTCTCTTCCTCGACGACGATTATCAGTATGCCTTGATTGGCCAGCCTTCTCGCCGATATCTCTGGGTACACACACCTTTCTTAATACTATTCTTTTTTCTATTTTTTAATTGCAAATACAAAATACCTAACTACAATAGTGTTTTTTAATTGCAAATACTGGTTTCCTGTTTGCATGTAAATTGTAAAACCTCCGATCGATCAGGCTCAAATACCGAATCATTATAGCATTTCAATATCATCAGTTACTCACAATAATACGAGTATTGTACTGGCCTGGTAAATTAGCTTTAAACAATGAATTATGAATCACTTTGGCTGTTTGATCCATGAGCTTGAGCTTGAGCTTGAGCTTCAGTGGTGCAAGCCCACCCAAACCCAATTACGTGATTCAAGCTCCAATTGACTCAAGGGATGGAGAACCCGCTTTTCTGTATATCACCTTAATTAATTTGCTTGCTTGTTCAGAAAGTTGTTAGGAGTGGTTTTGGAAATTATATTAACTGTTGTACTGTAAGTTGATTAAGACTTGTTATGTGGGATTTGTTCAGCTAGCTGATTAAGATTATTATGTGGGAATTGAAAACAGTGATATATACATAAGCTGAGTCGAGTTTTGATTATAGGTAATTGTATGTAGTGTATGTGCTATTCTGCTCTCGTAATTATTTTGGGTGCATTTGTAATAGCTCTTGATAATTTAGCCAGTGACCTAGGTCACCCCTTTTAGTTCAGCCATATTTTTTCACATTTATGTGCAGTTTGGCTAAGCGATTATGTGTTACCATTCCTCAGTGTCTTCTTGTTCCTTTCTTCCGTTGTACTGATCCTGTTTTCCTAGTCCTTTTATGATTTTTTTTGTCGGCCTTAACTTATATTGTTCATTACACTAATACTATTCTCAGCATGATTATTGCTGGTTACAGCCTTACAGGTTATGGCTGTAGAACCGAACAGAGTCTGCATTCCTTTCCTACCGCTTTTAGTTCAGTAGCATACCCTCACTTAATTCCTATGTGTTCTTTTTCCTATATTGCTTGACTTCATTTTAATTTACGTTGATTCTGTAGTGTACATGATTATATCACGATTATCTATTTTCTGTTTTAGAAGGGGCTATGTCTACTTTTTTGTGTGCTGAAGTTGTTTAATTTTTGGTGTTTAATTTTTGTGTGCTTACTAGAAGTGTATATGACTATGACCTTCAGGATGGGCTACCATTAATTTGATTAATTTCTTGGATAATGTTATGCCCTTTTTTGTTCATAGTTTTTTTGTTTTTGTTTTAACCTAAAGTAGATGAAGGGCTAAGAAGTCAGGAAAGAAAAGCCAAACTGTATTTGATAGTCTTTTTATTTTCTCAGATAGTATTGTGAGCTGTCTTTCTTAGTTGACTGAGTTTTGGCTCCTTTTATCATTAAGCCTTTTAGGTGTAACAAGATTCTTGATCAGGAATATTTGTCATGTTGTAATGAGCAAACTTTTTTTAATTATCTACTCTGTATAAAAATTGATTAATTTGTTCTAAATTTCAGGCTGCCAACTATCTGAATATTAAGAGCTTGCTGGACTTGACATGTCAAACTGTTGCTGTCAAACTGTTGCTGGACTTTATTTATGTACTTTTCATTTACCTTCTCATGTCTAGGTGAATGTTAATCAGTCTTGTGTTTTGGGATCTTTGGATCCATACATGGGGTGCGAGTTGTGTGTTTGCATTGGTGAAGTCAGGTCCTGGTTCGAATGAGGGGAAAATTGACCCTCCACCGGTGACGATTTCTGAACCCTTATCTTTATTGATTATTTTTTGGTTGCATTGAGAAGGAGGTTTGTATGTACTTGTTTGGTTGCCAGTAACATTAGTTGTTGGCCAGGGGGTGTGTGAATTTTGTTGTTGGTATTTGATTTGCTAGACTAATTTGTTGTGCTTGATTTGGTTGCCAATAACATGCTTTGTGAGTACATGCTTTGTGACTCCCTGTTGGGGTTGTGGTGGTTGATTTTGCAATATAGTGAGTCCCTTTGCCGTGGTCTGATTTTGCAATATAGAGTCCCTAAGATCTCAATGATTTAATTTGAGAGATCATTCTTGTTACTAAATCTAAATGATGAAGGGACTCAGCTGATTTTGAAATGGCTTGTTTGATTTGCTCCAATTATAACATTGTTGAGGTAACAAACAGGATTTCATTTCTTGTGATCAAATTACAATCTCTCTGATGGATTTAAGATGTCACTCATGATTGGTTCAATGTGTACACAAACCTCAAGCCTTCAAAAATATGAGCTTTGTCCTTTGCCATCCGGTTCTCCATGGTTGACTGATTTCCTTTAATTTTTTATTTTTATTTTTGCTGTCAATATCCTATCTTTACTTGCTGCTACGCTTGTTCTGTCTCTGTGCTGCTGTGCTACTTTGGTGCAGCTGTATGTGACTGATGATGCTGACAGTGCTGCTGTGAGAAGCTGGTTAGGCTTGTTGGATGATTGTGCTGCTGTAATTCTGCTGCCTAGTGCCAAGAACTGATCCCTGTTAGCTGCTGCCTCTGTTTACTGCCTGCCAGGTGCTATGCTGGCTGTCTGAAGCTAAAACCCCACACCCTGCTGTGATTGGTTTTTGGTGCTGCTGCCCTACTTTTTGTCTGGTACGCAGAGGATTTGTTTGAGCTCTGGCTTTCCGGTTTGCTGTTGTCACTGCTGCTGCTGTTACTGCTATCCCTGCTGCTACTGTCCCTGCTTGCTGTCGCTGCTTTTCTTTGCCTGCTGATGCTGTCTGCTTGCTGCTGCTGCTGATTCTGGAGGTTTCTGCCCTGCTGCTGTTATTCTTTCTTTTTTTTCTGGTTTGTTGCTGTTTGTAACCTCCAAGTTTGGAGGGGTTTGTATTTTTTTCACGTAGCGTATTTATTTGTGTATGAGGACACGGTGCGGCTGTACTTTATGAGGGCTTGCCCTTTTTTCTTTTAGTAATAATATCCCTTTCTTACCTACCAAAAAAAAAAATTATTACCTCCTAAAATGTTGCCTTTGAGATTATTAGCTTTTTGCTTACTTACCAAAAAAAAAAAAAAAATTACAGGTCAATGGCAACGGTTAACCGTTGCCAATTATTTTTAAAAAAAAAATGGTCAATGGCAACGGTTAATCGTTGCCAATTATTTTTTTTTTTAAAAAAAAAAAAATGGGCAATGGCAACGGTTAACCGTTGCCAATTATTAAAAAAAAAATGGTCAATGGCAACGGTTAACCGTTGCCAATTGCTTGAATTGGCAACGGTTTTGAACCGTTGCCAATTATTTTGGGATTTGGCAACCCTCAAATACGCAACGGTTCAAAACCGTTGCCTTTGGGGGGGTTTGAACCGTTGCCAATTTGCCCTTTTCATGTAGTGTTTTTTGTGCTTGGTTGTAATACTTTGACTAGTATTTGGTTTGTTGTATAATTGGTTGTTATTATACACAATTTAGGTTTTGTTCCCACAAAATTTTAAGTAACTCTTTGTTATTTGAATTGTTGTAAAACCTAACAAGTTTGTTGAAGAAATTTATGACTTAACCGGAAGGTTTTGCGGTGAAGGGACAAGAACACAAAGTGTGTAAGCTTAGAAAGTCTCTTTATGTTCTTAAGCAAGCTCCTAAGCAATGGTTTGAAAAGTTTGATAGTAGTCTTAGGTGTTGTGGCTATGTGACTAATTCTTCGGATTCTTGTTTGTACTCTAAGGAGTTTGGTCCATTCCTCTTCCTTTTTAACTCTCCCTTAACACCCATAATCAAGTGGTGTGTGTGTAGAACGTACCGGTGATTACAATTGTGCACCCCGGTTGCGTCGGATTTCGTTTTCAAGTCAGTGATTATTATCGCGCCGCATTGAAATTTCTTTGAGTATTATTTTCTCTTCCCTTATTCATTTTGTTGATTATTTGTTTTAGACCCTCTTTATATTACAACAGGATCATGGTGTTACACAACTCAAATCTACGAGAAAATCATACCCCCGAGTGTATTAAAAATATCCCTCAAGAGGTTTATTCCTTGGAGAAAACCTCCTAAACATCTATACATGTTAAACTGTCGCTTGTAATTTCGTTGGTCTTGGTTTGTTATATTTGATTGATTAAATGATGGAGCAGTGGACATGAAGGAGGATGTGAAGGGAGATGGTTGTGTACTTGTGTTTAGGGAACCTTGGCAACCATAATTATTGGCACCTGGTTGAACATAATTTTATTGAAGAGCAACGAAGTCAAGCTAGTACTCAAAGTTGGGTGGCGTTGGACACTGAAACCATGGTTTTCAGAGGTTTGAAATAGGGGGGAATATTGTTTGGGAAGGGGGAGGATAATTAAAAAAAAAAAAAAAAACCCCAAGTGCAAGTTAACACGCCACCCTAATTACCTGTTTATCAGGTAAACATACAATTCAGACTGTTTTGAGAATGTTACCCTAATAGTTGAGATTATTCCCGGTTAAATAATAGTTGGGATTAAAATGGGAAGGTGAGCAATAGTTGGGATTATTCTCATTAAATTTTCTTTAAAAATATAAACATTTTTTATAGGGAAAAATTAATTTAATAATTTTTTTTTATATATATTCAAGTGACTTAATACCCTTCAATCTGCCACTGAGAGGGATTCCTTATCCCCCACGGCCCCACCCACTCTTACATGCTTAACCTGCTAACTCGAGTCGGATGGCCTTATGAGAGGTTCCGAACCGTTCTCCTTAATACAATTATTCATTACTTTTATAATGCATAATAATTAAAGATATCAATTATCAAATCATATTTTTTTTTTTTTTTTTGGCAGCTGAGAAACAGACAAAAGTCAGGGGCTACACGCCCTTTTTGCTAGGACATGAGCTTGCAAAAGCAAATTCAAAAAAATAAAAAATGTGAAACAAAGTGTCATTTTTGAAGCTCATTTTACTTCATTCATCATCTACCAAAATAAAGTCATCTCTCTCAACAGTGTTCTCGAATTTAATTTCTCAACCGTTCATCCATCATCAAAAGTCATTTCAATTTGATTGATTTGAAGCTTGCTCATTAAACATACATTTTTCTTTTTTTATTTATCATTTTAATGTTGACACTATATACATTCTCCACTTTGATCTTTTTAGTTAAAAAAGAAGTAAAAAAAACAGTCATATATAACTTGTTAATGTTATAGCCCTAAACCTGGCAAATGGGTTGTTCAGGTCGGATACGGATCAAGTCAATTTCGGATTAGTTAACATTTCGGTCGGGTATGAGTCGGGTCGTTTCGGGTTTCGGGTATGAGTCTGTCAGGTATCGGGTCAAGTTCGGGCTGGGTCCATTTGGGCCGGGTATGTTCGGGTCAAACCATTTTCAGGTCAAGTGTATTCAAGTCATATTTGGGTCGGTTCAAAATCAGGTCGGGTCATGTTCGGGTTGTTCCATTTATGAATCAAACTCAAATCAATTATTTTCTATTTTGTTATTGTTATAATAAGAACTATCAATTCGTTTTATAAGCTTGGTTACAGTTGAAGATGAACAATTTGAGTTACTTTTGGCACCAGACATTTTTAGTTCAATTATAAGGTAATTTTAGTTCGGGGCATTTTGGGTATCAAGTCTGTTCGGGTCAATTTCGCCTATCGGGTTTGTTCGGGTCAAACACTTCGGGTCAATTTCGGCCCGGGTTAACTTCGGGTGTCGAGTCAAGATCGGGTTAACTTCATTTTCGGGTCGGGTACGGATAGCAATGTCAATGGGGCGGGGAAGGCGGGGATGGGTCTCGGTTTGGTGGGTGGTGAGGTGGGGTGGGGTGGGGATAAAAACTATACCCGCCGTTGGTGATGGGGCGGTGCTGGATTTTTAGGTTGTACCCGACCCATCCACATATTAAAAAAGTAAAACTATATAATTTTATAATTTTAAAAAATAAAATTATATATTTCATACCTTCCTAATACCCACATCCTCATATTTTAAAAAATAAAATTATATACTTTTATACTATTTTTTTTAAAAAAATTAAGTAAAGTATAATGCCAAGTACTTTGTAATAGACATATATTATTAAAAAAAAGTGTAATATTAATAATGATTTTTTTTTTAATTTTCATCAATATTATTTGTATTTGGGAGGCAAAGATTAGACGGGTTTTAGGTGGGAATTAGGTGGGAATGGATATCCAAGTGGAGGGTGGGGCGGGGATGGTTTTGAAATTGTACCCGTCGAGGCGAGGATGGGGATGAATATTGGACCCGACGCAGGGATGGAGATGAGAATGTTAGGCGGGCATGGGGATAGGAAGGCCAACATCCGCCCCGCCCCGCCTCGCCTCATTGACATCCCTAGGTATGGGATCGGGTTTCAAGTCAATTTTGGGTCGATGTTTTTGGGTTATTGGTCGAGTCTTTCGGGTCGGGTTATCGAGTCTGGGTCTGGATTGTTAGATCTATATAGCCCTAAGAGCTACATATAAGAAGCTAAAAATGAAAAAAAAAAACAAATGAAATATAACATTAATTACACTGATTTACACTTGATTTTGTCATGCATTTTTAAATTAATACCAAATAAGGAAAGTTAATAACTGCTTATTCACATCTCTAAGGACTACATATAGCATTACCTTTAAATCTAATCTAATCTAATATATACATATATTATATAAATAAAATAGACATTTTTGGAGAGCATTCGGAGCGCCACCTAAGAAATATACTTATTTCGACCAATAAGAAGAAAGATTTGAATTTCATTTTTGAATTAAAAAATTATGTCGCCACCTAGATAAAAGTAACGAATTAGATTTGATATATCTAAAATTTTAATGCTATGTAGATTCTAATCCATGAATTAAATTATTTTAATGAAAAAAATAAAGTAAAAATATAGGAAAAGATAAATTTATTAATTCAATACTACTAGTATAAGAAATCCAAAAAAAATATACTAAGAAATATTTAAATGATAAACGCTTATAATAAAGTTTGATACCTATCATTATAAGATAAATTTTGATATTATTTATGATAAGAAATACCAATTGTTCGTTAATTATAATTAAATTAAAACTTGTGATACCTACCATTATAAATTGACACATCATACGACACAAACAAAATTTCGTATCAATTAAAAACCCTATCAAGCGAATTTTGTGTTAGTAATTTTGTGTTAATTTTTGGTCATCAATGGTCGGGTAATTTTTAGCTTAATTTTTAAAATCCTATGTTTAAATTAGTATTTTTAATTATTACTTACATTGTATTAATTTGGGATACTCAACGATTGTATGTTTATGTTTTATTTACTAAATGTTTTTTTACATGCAGATCTAACACATCATACGACACAAATAAAATTTTGTATCAATACAAAACCCCATCAAGCGAATTTTGTGTTAGTTTTAGGTCATCAATGTCCGGGTAATTTTTAAAATCTTATGTTTAAATTTATATTTGTAATTATTAGTTACATTGTATTTATTTAGGACACTTAACGATTATTTGTTTATGTAATGACATACGGTATTAGATGTTGTATACTTAATATATGGATGGCTTTGGTTATTTTTGGAGATGATGACAAAAGTCCAATGCATAGATTTGATTTTACATCGCAACAATTTTTCATTTATTGGTAAATGTATAGATTTATTTTATATAAATGTAAAGATTTAATTTATATCAATTTCAGTTTGGCTAACATTTCACAGTTCAATTTATCCATTGATGTAGTAGGTTGGTTTGGTAAAACAATGAATTAAAGATTTAAATTATTAAAAATTTATCATTTGCATTAAAGATTTTATATAACAGAAAAATATCATATTTACAATTTATTTAAATTTAATAAATTCATTATAAATTATAGTAATAAAAAAATAAATAATAAACTTTTGTAATTTTGTCTGAAATTATTAAATACAATAAATCAAATAATTAAAAATCTTAGATGAGAAAATCGTGCATCACACGGGCTTTAATCTAATTTATATAATAGTAGTAATATTTTAAAA